CGTAGCGTCACCGCATGCTGCATTCCGCGCCCTGAATCGCCCTTGCACCTGGGCCTACTCGCGCTGCGACCCCACAATAATGCCTTCACTTCACTTCACCGCGTGCTGGCATTCCGCGTGAATCGCCCTTGCACGCTGGGCCACCTGCCAACTGCGACCCCAGAATAATCCCTTCCACTTCACCGTCACCGCGTGCTGCATTCCGCGTGAGTCGCCCTTGCGCCTCGCCCACTCACAGTCGTGACCACACAATAATCCTCTCCACGTCAACATCACTACGTGCACCAATCTCCCCCACCACGCCACCGTCATCCACCCATCATTCCGCGTGAGTGCCTCTAGGCCCAGCCCGCTCCAAACCGCGACCAAACAATCTCCCCCGCCACGCCACTGCCATCCACGCACTGTTCCCCGAGAGTGCCCGGATGCCCCGCCCACTCACTGCCTCGTGTACACATGATCCTCGCCTCGCCGCCATCACCGCGCGCACCATTCCTCGAGAAGCTCCACGTCCCTAATCCAACCCGCCACATCACCGTCACCCGCGCACCATTATTAAATACTTGCACAGACATAGAAACGATGAAATTAGAAAAAAATTGTGTATGATTTTGAAACCATTAGGGGGGACGTTTCCCCCGTCCACTCCAGTATTCCTTTTTCGCAATGGAACCGGCACTGACGCTTCTGTAAACTACATATCAAAAGAGCAAAGACATCTTGCAAGCACGTTTAAGTTGAATATATGGCTGTCGGTTAGATTTAAATTAGATTCAGTGTACTAGTTTTATGACAGTACTAAATTAAATACAAATCTTTCAGTCTTCAATACATTATTATTGTTTTCGTTGGGTGTTACATTAATAAAATATTTGAAATCGAATTTTAAAAAAACGGTTATTTATGTTTAAATATATTTGTTGGACAAATTTTCACATTATTATTTTCAACCATTCGAGACCATGGATTTTGTCTCATTTTCAGAAGTTGTAAATGTATTTTGAAGGATAGTTTAATTAGTCCTGAAGTTGGGGTGGGAGTGGGGGGGTTGTTGGATGATACATTATTACAGTATTTTTGAACATTTTTGAAGTTTGTTTACAGAGTCAGGAGTAATGTGAAAGTTTAATAACACAAAAAATATGAATAATCAGAAATAACCTTTTTTTAAAAAAAAATGTTTAAAAATATTGTAATAATGTATCATTCACCAAAAAAAAATATTTTAGACAGATAAAATATTAATATTTTTAGAACTGTCACGAGCAACTGGATAATACTCTATATGATTTAAACATCTTATTAGTATAAAACTGCAGTGAATTTCTGATTTCAGTTGGTCAAACCATCTATTCATTTGAGTACTCCATTCGCCTGATACCCGGCACTCCCTTCAAGCCTGGAGTGGTAACATGTGACGGTCAGAATTTTGTGGCCATTGGAGCAGATAAAGGTAGTAAAGATGCGATATATGTTTTCAATGTTCGAAATGGCAGTCTTAGCAGCAAAATTCCCATGAAGCAAGCAGTTCTTAAGGTAAGTAATTCCCACAAGTTGATCAGGCTCGGATTTAAAGTGCTAAGTTCCATGGGTCCAATTCCTTTATCCACTCGTGTTGAAAGATCTCTAACAAAATATGCAGGGAAGAGGGGACGAAATGCATCCTTGACAAGCTTAGTTAGATTAAAAACGTTCTAAAGGCATATTACACAACACGTATCAACTTCTCCTTCAAAACTTTCAACATTGAAGAGGCAATGCATAACTTCATTTTACTTTCACCGGAGATAATAAAAAACTATTGTTGATTTGAAGCACACATCCAAACACAAGTCGACATCTTCCGAATATTGTTCCGAACATTGCGACATCTTCCGAATTATAGTAATGCGTATTCATCGTCTTCGTGATCGTCAAAACATGCTCGAATTGCAAAACTGAATCGCAATTAAAATGCGATCTAGTTAAAAATTAATTGTTATTTAAGATCGCATCAACTACTAGGTCATTAACGAAAAAAATAATTATAATGTGAAATTTGAAAGAAAACGCATACTAAGAAACCAACCATAAAATAATATATTTTGTTGATCTGTATATTTTTCATTCTTTTTACATATTATTCCATGGAGTGGATTATCTCTTCACAATTTCTTTGACATTTTTGTCTCAGATTTCATGACAAGAAACATCAGGAGTTCATTGTGTTTTATTCTGCGCGTCTGGCATAGTTTTCAATGCAATGCTTCTGTCACCACTTACAATGCCACTTTCTCCATTTAGATTAAATGACTGGCCTCAAAAATGGGCCAAATTGATGACTGATTACATACCTTCCTATTCCGACTATTACATTGTGAAAGAAGACTTCAATTTGCCCGAGTCCTCTCCCTTCCTTGCATGACACAAAGCCAGTACATCAGCTAGAGTGTGGGTGACTGGATGACGTTTTCTGTCTTCATGGTCCGTGGTTCGAATTTCTTGCTGAGTATTGTCCACCGGTCCGAAGCTGCACTTTGCTACTGGCTCAGCCGAATTACCAATTTCGGAAATTTTAGTCCTCGAGTACAGAACGGACTGCAGGTCGAATACTGCAGTTCCTTAATACTTGCGGAATTATTTCCTTCGTAGTGACCTCCGATAGTCACGCTCTTCAATGCCAGATACATGTAGATTTTTCTCGGCTCAAGATTTTGAATCAAAGTGTACATATCAATGTGAATATTCTCTGACGTTACCACTTTGCTTCCGAGTTTGACTTTTGCTCATTTGGCAAGCCCAAAATTCAGGCAGATGTCATTTCTGAATTAATTTGCCACAGACATTACAAAATCATTTCATTCCTAGCATACAATTTCACATTCACATAAAATAAATGTTACATATCTGTCATCACCACGGAGCTTGTAACTGATGTCAAATTTCAACAACTATATAAGATTAGTCTGCACAAGACATGCACAAATTACGTTTTCGTTTCCTTACATTATTTAGAACGACTTCGTTAAATAGCAACACTTCCTTGCAGTAGTAGAACCATTTATTTATGCCAATTATTTCTGTTCAATTGGCAAGAAATAGTTCCCCTGCAGGTGTACATTATAAGCTACTACGGCAATTATAAATGTGTACATATACTGTCTCTCCCAGTGGGTAGCAATTAAATTATGCTGTGGGTGAGTTCCTCCTGGAGTTTTTTGGGGTTTTTAAAATTCCATTAACCGCCTTTGTCAGAAGAGAAAGTAATGCTGTCATTTTCTGGAGCAAATAATTCTTCATCAATCACGAAGATTTTCAGTTCCCTATGTTTTTAATCGCTTGGATGTTTTCCTCCGAGAATTCTTGTACATATTCGACCATTTATTTTTATCACCTTTTTTATTTTTATTAGCAAACATTTTCCTTTGTACACCGAGTTTTGTTTTATTTTATTTATTTCCGTAAAAAAGCAGAAAACAATATATGTGACGTATGGGGAAAAATATAGATTAGCGTATGATCTATGTTCCTTACTCATTTCATAGTTTACTGTAAAAGTGTCCACTGTCCACTGTGATGCTGTTCTGATGTAAACAGATCACTGAACATCAGCTGGCGTTAAGTGAATAAATAACACATTAGAATTCTTCCCACGGCCTTTGTACTGCCCCCTCCTTAAAATTAGATACCCTGGGCCCTGATCCACTAGGTCACGTAAATCCGGGCCTGAAGTAGAACACTGCAAATGCAAAATGGAATTGGGAGGCGAGCTGTGAGTGTGTGCCCTTGATCAGGATGTGAGCAGTTTGGTTGCGATGCCGCACAGGGGGAACCTAGTGGCGCTCATCGACCCCGACAAAGCCAGCATCCTCGACACCAAGCACAAACGCATAGTGCGACACGTTCCCAAGTGGGGAGGAAGTTGCACGAATGATGGTCGATACGGTTTATATGCACCCTCAAGGTAACTCCAAATTCTATTTGTTTACAAATATTTCCCTATGGCTGATATAATATATTTTAGTAGATACATAGACGATTAATGTGAACATCTTGTCTCATTTCCCATTCATTTTATGCTTAGGAAAACAGGCTAGTCTATAATGTTTTATATTTTCACTGGTTTATGATGTGAAATTTCTGAATTAATATTTATGTTTTGTATTTGAAGTTCACTTTTAAAAGAATTTACTAAATTCAATTGAATTTAATGTTGACTTTATTTGAGAAAAAACAACAAAAAATTAATAATTTTCAATACAAAATAGCGAAACACAATGTGAAAACAGTGATCAATTCTAAAAGACAAACAGTGATAAATTCTAAAAATGTTTGGAAATGATGTTGAATTTTGCGGTTTTAGTCCCTTCGTGAGTTCAGACGCAATTCTATAAAACTGTTTGTTGAAGAGATTTGCCACTTTTTCTGGATTACTTGCTTCTCTTTTATTATCCTTTAAAACAACATTTTCTACTAAGTAACGAGATGTATTCGTATTTTTACGATATTACACATTGCTTTAGTTTTGTTACTAGCGTTCAAAATATTCTGATTATTTTTCAATATTTTGTGCCTGAACTATTACTTTCCTTGAAATACTTTTCTATTCTCGGAAGTAGACATGGAAACCGGGTGATACGTTATGATGTTTAGAAATAAAGTAAAGCGTGCGTTTGATTTACCTCCGAGGAAGTACGGGCTGCACTAGTTAATGGATTGATTTGTGATTTAATTATCGTAAGAAGACTTTACAGAATCCGACTAGTATGCCAACATAGGTTATGTAGAAACGCATTAGAATCAACATGGACCAATTAATCGGATAAGTATTTTATTTCGTTGTTTAATATTTACATTATCCATTCTTTTTATAAAGCGAGACCGTTAACCTATTACGATCGACACGCTTAGAGCCTTTAAAAAGAACATTTCCACGACCATTTTCCATTTATAAATTGAAAATGTTGTAGGGATCAATGGAAATTTCTAGGACCTCAACAACTTCCGAAAGAGTCAAATACCATTTCTTAAGGATTTTCATTTTACAGAGGCGGGCTGGAGTTATTGGAATTAAAACATGGAAACAGTGTTAAGACATACATACCCAAAGTGGCGGAAGGTGTCTTCACAGTGATATGTATGTTCAATAAAACTGATGAATATGTCATGTACTATCATAGTGGCAAGAAAACACTTCGAGTCTTCCGGTGAGTATGAAGGACAGTCACACGCTTTCTACATCGAAGCGCGGGCGGAAGGAAACCAAAAGTGCCTGAAAGTAATATTTCCCATGTCACAAGCAGTCATAGTTGCTAATGTGTTTGCTTGAGAAGAGTAGGGGACAACCCAACCAAGATATTGTTTCGTTAAAATGAATATAACATAAATCATGCGTAAAACATACGAGTGTACATTATGTTCGCATTGACAAATTATTAACCCTAAACCCCGTGGAGAACATGGGAGTCCTTGAAATATAAAATTTGGGCGGGGGGCGAAAGGAAGGTGTCCCTCCGTGAAATTTTAGTTCAAATCAAGACAATTTGCTTATTTATTGAATGCAACAAGCTATTCATGGATTCAATCATATACAAGCAAACAGCAGCAGCCACGGACACGTGGGCTGCGGCGAAGAGAGAGATAATGGTGCTACACATTGCCGGGGTAGCCCTATATTCGTCTGTTTAGGAGCATCTTAATATTCTTTTCCATGGATTTTTTTAAAACTTTTTGATTAATGAAAGACGAGAAAACATTTTTATGTACACGATGACACCGTTTCACAGCCTTAACGCCATGTAATGCTAAATAAATATCATCGTATTGTTGAACATGTCTTTAGTAAACAAATTATATTATAATAAAAATACTGGAAGTGCTTGAAAATATTTAGGGGACATGTTTCTCTCTACCCCCCCTGCCAAAGTCGCACGTGATCGGAGGAGGTACGCCCGGACTTGGCAAGTGTTAATTCTCTCATCTCCTTTGCAACTTGAGACACATAGGCCGTAGAGACATGTGTCCGAATAGCTTCATTATTTCATTTCATGAACGAGTCTCCCACAGACTTACTATGACAGGTGTGCGAGAATGAGGAAATGAGGGAGGGAGAGAAGGTGAGTGAAAGCGAAAACACTGTTCAGTGTGCCGGATCTGAGTGCCCTCCTTAATTTCTATTACTACCTTAATGTCAATCATATTTCTGAGTTTCGATTCACAATTCAAATTCTTAGGGGGGTCATTCGCCAAGTATCAGAAATAGTTTTTTTGCTGTTGTAACAAGATAAAAAATCAGAAGCAATGTTCTTGAAACGCAAAAGAAAGGCTTTGAAACGAAGTTTTATTTTTAGATATTAAAAATTGTATTTAACTCAATTTTAACTACAGGTATTGTACATAAGTTTATTTCATATTTGGCGGTTACTGGTCTTAAGATTATACACTAAAATTGCCCCTACTCAGAGCACATAGCATATATTAAAATTATTACACTGTGTTACAGAAAAAAATTCTGCGAGTGACGAATTAAAGAGCTCTGTAGAACGAGAGGCTATCCCACATTGCCTCAGTTCAGAGATATTGAGAGTTTTACGAGACTTTCATAAGATAACTCGCTATCCTTGCATAGAAGTCCATACTGGATTTACGAAGCGTATTAAACTAAATGAATAATATTTGAAGTTTTATTTAATGCTAATATTTCAATTTCAAAAAAATTGTAGGATGGCCCCTTGTTCTACTGAACTCTCCAACTGTAAACTATATTGTCCATATATTGGACATCCCTTCATTCCATGTGAAAAATACTTTTATGAGTGATATATTTGAGTGGTTCACATTCAGACTAATGCTTGTTTTCTTTCATTTCAAAAGCGTCAGATTTCTCTTTCTCATCTATTTCTGACTTCGTTATTTATATGGGCGATTATTTCGGCAGCACATCGGATACTCAAATGATAGCAAATTTCCGAGTGCAAGCAGAACTGAGTGCAATTGAGAGTACTGAAGACGGGAAGGCCATCGTACTGGGTACAGTGGATGGCTGTCTGTCGGTGCTTGCAATTGCCGATCCTTCCAAAGCAGAGATGAAAGACTTTTTGACTACCCTGCCATCGCGAGATGAAGAAGTAAGTCCATAACTCGTGTATTTGCCATACTTTTTCTTTAATTTCGTTAAGATGAGAAACACATTTTAACTCTGCTTTTCTAATCGATTGTAATTTAGCCCCTAGGTATATTAAAAGAGGAAATATTGTAATTTATCCCCTAGGTAATTGAATAGAAAGGATGTGCTAAGTCAGTTTTTATATAAAAAATCACATTTTACCATCCTTCATTTTTATTTTTTATCTCGTAATGCCTATACAAGTCCGCAAAATTGGCGTGGTCCCCTGGACTCGTGGTACGAAAAGAGGAAATTAGCGCGATCAGCTGCGCACAATAACGCTGAAAAAAAAACTGCTCTTGACTACTGCACCAAACAACTCTGTGGCTTCACACTATTGTCCGTGGTTTGCTTCAGACAATTCTTATTTACCAAAATAGTGTTTTTTTAGTAATCAATTGTCATCAAAGACGGACCTTGGTGTAAAGTTTTGAAACACTACCATACAGGAATGTCAGTGAAAAGTTAATAGAGCTATAATGTGAGTAAAAAATGAAATAAAATAAAACCGGCTTCAAAACAAAAAAGCTCTTAAAGTAACGAATAATTTCGAACATAAATTTTTTCTTTCGATTTATCACTGATAATGAGATTTTTTTGTTAAATAGTCATTACCTACGAACGACTAAATGTGTGTTTGAAGAAATGCAATGTTTCCTCCTTGCAGCGTCACTCTTTACTCCCGAGACGAAACGTCATGAACACTTTTGTGAAAATAATGACTGATATTGTCATGACGAAGGCCTGGAAAATTATATGTTAACTAGGGCTGTTATATATATATATATAGATATATATAATATATATATATATATTATATATATATACAGTAAAACAACGAAATATGCGCATTTTGTATATTTAATATATTTGGTAATATTGCAATTAAAAAAGGAAAATGTCCACAATACTGTAATGTAATGTGTAAGTGTAAAAATAAATAAAAAGTGTAATGTGGAAAGTATGTTTACAGAAAAAAAGAAATAGAAATCATATAAATTGTTGTGACAAACATTAAGTCAAGGGCCTAATTTTGAAGAACACTGATTTATTAGGAAGATAATGGGAGATGCAGTTAATCTACAATTCACAAAATACAAAAATATAGGTACTGCAACAAAAATATGACTTCCTATCAATTCACGACAATTTCACAGGCTTGACTCTTTTAACACCACTCCACGTTTGTGCCGTGTGTGGGCGCGCTTAGGCGCTCGGCGGATGCACATTTCATTTCGACCTAGCCCTAGTCATGAACGCCCAATCTTTCCCAGTTAATAGGCGCACTTTTGCCAATCGAAAAAGAAATTTAAAGGACAAATTAGAACCTTTTTTAGAAAATTATGAAACTAGATAGATCATAATTGTTATGATACAAAAATTAAAAGATATTCAAATTCCCAGACTAAAGTTTTCTTAGATGAATTTTCAAAGAAATTCTGCGTACGGTTTAGGGGCCAGAGCATTCATTACAATTCACTATTATATCCTTCTTTCTTTCTTTCTTAATTTGTTCCGTCTGTATCGGAACGCGTCTCCAAACTCCGTAAGGAGCGTTGAGCGCACTGGAGTAATCCTCGTCTATAAGCGCCTTCTACTGGTTGCTGTACTATTGTCTAGTCCTGTCAGTAGTAGTCAAATCAGAGAATCGCACACAGGTAGCGGCTTCGCGCTCGCGTCACGCACGCGCCCTGCGTCATCTACCCATCTGCCAGAATTGTGTGAACTAGCCCTTGTAAAGCATGCAAACTCGTTTTGTCGTAACATTTCACATGAGGTTCTACGTTCTATGAGAATCGAATCCAGAACCTCAGTGGTGAAAGACAAGCGACTTCGCCACTGAGCGTGTTATATATATATATATATATATATAT